AGTTCGACCAGGATACCGGTAGTTCGATCGCTCGCTATGACGTGCGCTGACCACTAGGGGGCAGCGCAGAACATGGCGGGCTACCAGTGTCAGGGCGCTGAGGGAGCGAGGGAAGGAGGAGGCGGGGAGGCGGGGAGGCCAGGCCTCAGGGCCTCTAGTATTTATTATAAATGCCTCTCTTCTGGCCTTTTTTCCTTTAGAGATAAAACAAGTGGGTCTCTATTCCTTACCGCCAGCATGGCTTACCAGAACCACACATCATCACTGTTGTGGCTGGACAGCATTCCACTGTGTGGAGGTACCATTAGGTTAAAAACCTAGTGATGGGCATTTCAGACATTTCCAATGAGTACCTTCATCACTAATTCTTTTCACAATGAAAAATAATGTTGTTATGATCTATTCCAACAGGTGGAATTCCTTGTTTGAAGGAGAACTGAATGATACTAAGTTGGACTTCAGAAAGACTGTGCTGCCCTAACCGGTTTGGCTCAGTGGATAGAACGTCAGCCTGTGGACTGAAGGGTCCCAGGTTCGATTCCAGTCAAGGGCATGTACCTTGGCTGTGGGCACATCCCCAGTAGGGGCTGTGCAGGAGGCAGCTGATCAATGATTCTCTCTCATTGATGTTTCTAACTCTCTATCCCTCTCCCTTCCTCTCTGTAAAAAGTCAATAAAATATATTTTAAAAAAATAAAAGACTGTGCCAATTTACAGCTCATGAGCAGGGCATGAAAGTGGTTGATTTTTCACCCCTTTTGAGTTTCTATCAATTAAACATGCACACACACACACACACCAAAACATTGCTATTCTGACAGGCAAGAAGTGGTAAGTGGTCAGTTATGGTCTTAATGTGTATTTCTCTGATTTTTTGTTGACTAGATATGTGGGCTTTGTCATTAGATAGACCTGGGTCTGAGTTCTAGCTCTGCCTCTTATTGTGTGGCTTCAGTTAAGTTACTTCTCCATTGCCTCTTCTGTATATTGGACATAATAATAGTGATTACTTTGTAGGATTATTATGAGGCTTAGATAAGAAAATAAATAACAAAACACTTAGCTTGGTAAAACCTCTGTACACTTATTATAGTTATAAAGAATGACTTAATTTGTGATCATCAGATAAAGCTCTGTGAGATATCTGAAACTCAATGGGACATTGATTTAAATACCTGTTAGAATTGTATAGTCCTAGGAATAAGAAAGCAAGCAAGAGCCCACTAGGTTCATAACCTTTATCATTAGAGAGAAAATACATTTGCTTATTTGGATAGCATATATTACCAAGGTCTTTAGAATTGAAATGAAAACATAGGTATGTATCTTAAAAGCCAAGAAATAGAAAAATCAAAGATAACCTGGGTAGGTAGGTCTTGCAGGTTTCTAAGAGTAGTCAGAGGATGATATAATGAGTTTTAAGTCCATGACATAATGTAAAAAGGGGCTCAAAATGATACTTGGCACAGTGAAAAGAATGGCTCTGAAAGGCCACAGCTCCAGGACTCATGTCTGTAGAAACCTCTAATAAAAAATAACCTGCTCTAGCTGGTTTGGCTCAGTGGATAGAGCGTTGTCCTGCGGACTGAAGGGTCCCAGGTTCGATTCCAGTCAAGGGCACATGCCCGGACTGCAGGCTCGATCCCCAGTAGCGTGCATGCAGTAGGCAGTCGGTCAATGATTCTCTCTCATCATTGATGTTTCTCTCTCTCTCTTCCTCTCCCTTCCTCTCTGAAATCAATAAAAATATATTAAAAAAATAACCTTATTTAATTCAGTTGGAAACTTCCGGAAGCTCTGTGTCTTTCAACTTAGATAATATTTTTTTTTCCAACTTAGAGAATCTTTAGAATTAAGGTTAATGGGGTAAAAGTTATGGGATTAATATGTTGGGGTTAAGAATAAATATGTGCATATTTCACATTTTATGCACTTGCAATGCTTAAAAATGGCTTATTAGAGTAACAATCTTATAACTCTTATTTTCAATATATATTTGAGTTAATCTTAGAACTAAGATTTTGAGTTCAAGTCTTACTAAACTTATATATGGAAGTGGGCCAACTAAGAGAACTTAAGGTTCATTATATTTGTCAGTTTATCTGATTTATAAAGATTACCAGGCATTGCAAAGGCTCTAGGTTAGACAATTGAAGAAAGTAAAAAGAAAATCTACTAAGTCTATAGACATGATTTTAAATGTTTAAAGATGTTGAATGAACTAAGTTTGTGAATGTGACCAAAAATTATTACAAGTTTCTGAAAAGTGATTGGTAAAATATGCTTGACTTAATTGAGCATTTCTATTAATAGAGTCTAGCAGTAGCAGGGTCAGCTACAGGGTCAGACAGGTTAAATTTGAAGTATCTGTGGAATTCACAGGTGAAAATGTCCATTACACAGCCCAAACACTGAATTGGGGCTTCTAGAGGGTATGAAGACAAATAAATAAATAAATAAATGTGTAATATGCGAATTAGACCAGACATCATTCCGGATGTCCTTCTGGACGACCTTCCAGACGAAGCCCCGGCTGCGAGGGAAGCCTGGTCCCAGGTGCCTGCCAGCGGCCAGAGGGAAGCCAGTGCTGGCAGCCGGGGGAAGGAAGGCCTGCTCTTGCATGAATTTCGTGCATCCGGCCTCTAGTATAGCTATATAAATAAAAATATAAGTGTTCGTTTGTTCAAAATCTTAAATCTCTGAAAGTTCTTCACCAATTGCTTTGAAATTTTGACACAACATTGCATTCAAATACGCGAGTGTTTTTATATACCTATTATATAGATGTCACACCTGTGACAGGTAAAAACATGCTTTTTTTGAAAAACAGTGCTATCTGTTGGGCGTAAAAGCAACACACGCTATACTAAATATTTTACGATTCCATTTCAATGTTTCTGATTTACGATCCATTTATGATTTCCAAATTTCCAATTTTACGATTCCATTTCAATGTTTCCGATTGCATTGTTAAATTGAATTCTCATAGATTTCGATTTATTTTCATTTTGATTTAATTATTTCGTGTGACATTGCATTGGAATTGAGCTATGTCGTTTACCATAGTGTTTATTGGGAACGGAAAGGTGCCGGTTGATCTGACCTCAGGACGAATTTCATTGCCTCATAACTTCTGCAATTTAGTCACGTCAAAAGAAGAATTGGTTGAAAAAGTATTTCCCAATATTCAAACCAATGATAAGAATCACGATTGGCTGAGTGAACGAGCTATTCTTGCAGCCAAGAACAAAGACGTCTATGAACTTAATATTATTCAGTCTAACATTCAAAGCGAGGCAGTCACATACAAGTCCGCCGACACTGTTGTGGAAGCAGATGAAGCAGTTAATTATCCAACAGAATTTTTGAATTCACTCGATCTGCCAGGGATGCCACTGCACGTACTGCAATTGAAAATTGGCGTGCCAATTTTCATGTTGTGAAATATCAATCAGCCAAAGCTTTGCAAGGTCATAGAAGCAACAATCTTGACAGGACCTTTTAAAGGTGAAGATGTCCTCATTCCTCGCATTTCTATGATTCCAACGGATATGCCATTTCAATTTAAGAGATTGCAATTCCCAATTCGATTGGCATTTGCAATCACCATCAACAAAGCTCAGGGCCAATCTTTAGAATTGTGCGGTTTAGATCTAGACACGGATTGCTTTTCACATGGACAATTATATGTTGCGTGTTCTAGAGTCGGCAAACCAGACAATCTCTATATCTGCACAGACAATGGAACAACAAAAAATATTGTATACCCACAAGCATTGTGAAATTAAACATATCAGAAACGTGCGCTTTCTCTTTTCTTTCTTTTCCATTTAACCAGACTGAGCCACAGCAACGCGTGGCCGGGTACAGCTAGTATATAATATGTATATATATTAGGGCTCTTCAGCAGTTTAAGGTAAGCACGCGTAAAGTTACTCAGAAAGATGGACAAAGAGAAAAACGGAAGAGGGCTGAGGACAGAAATCGGTCGAATAACAATTATTTTTTAAAAATATTTTTATTGATTTTAGAGAGGAAGGGAGAGGGAGAGAGAGATAGAAGCATCCATGATGAGAGAGAATCAATGATCGGCTGCCTCCTGCACGCCCCCCACTGGGGATCTAGCCTGCAACCCAGGCATGTGCCCTGAACCGAACCTGGGACCCTTCAGTCCGCAGGCCAACACTCCATCCACTGAGCCAAACCGGCTAGGGCGAATAACAATTATTTTAAGGGCAGCGCACAAGCTGCAAGGGAAAGAGCCCTAAAAGGGGCAAAAGTCACTTAAAAAAAAGAACTTGCAAAGGTCAGTGGCAAGGGGTGTCAGGGAAGTAAGTTGGGACAAATACAGCTCTCCTGCTTTAGCATCCACTTCTCAAATATTAGGAGGGTCAAGCAGTTCCAATCGGATGCCCCCCGGGAACCTAGGAGAGAACAGGCCGGACCGCCAGATCCTGCAGTCCGTCCCTCAGGGCAGTTGGGTTCTCCTTGCGTCCGATAAGCACACCCGGGGCCATTGCACAGGGCGCCCTCCTCAAAGGCCGTAGGTGCAGAGTTTAGCTCGGCAGGCGGGGGAGGGGACGGGGCCCACCTTTTTTATTTCAAGCCACCGCCAATGGCATCATTTTGTCCGAGATGCGGATGAGATGTCGGCCTCAGAGGGTAGGGCTCAGGGCGGGGCGGGCTTTCCTGGCCAAGCCGAACTGTTGGCGAGACTGACTGGCGGGCGGGCTCCGCCCACTTTCTTCCGCCTCTCGCCAGGCCGTAGAGGGCGCGGGGCGGGGCATGGGCGGAGCTGGGGCGGGAAAGCCTGTCAATGCCCCGCCCACTTCCGCCCGCTCCTGACGGCGCGGCAGGGTGCGGCCGCTGGGGCGGGGCCTCAGGGGAACAGGGCGGGGCCCCAGGGGCGGGGCCGGCTCTGTAGGGCGGGGCCTCGGGGACCAGGGCGGGGCCTCGGGGACCAGGGCGGGGCCTCGGGGACAGGGCGGGGCCGGGAGGGCAGGGAGCCCGCGCACTCTGCAGGAGCTGCAGCCACCGACGCCCGCGCCTCTAAGGTCTCACCGCTTCCTCAGCAGAGACCTGGGCTCGGCCGCCATGTCCGCCACGGAGGAGGTTGACGGGCTGAGCGTGTTCCGGCCGCACTATGGCTGTGAGTGCGGGGGCTCCGTGGGGGGTCTGGGGGCTGGGCTCTCTGCCTTTCCCAGGCGCCGTTTTTCCCGGGGGGCTCGGCCGGGCGGGTGGGGCAGGGGCGGGCTGCGGGGCCCGCGCCCCGGAAGAGCCGGAGCGGTGGGCGGGAAGGGGTGCGGGCGGCGGGGCTCCCAGCCCGCGCCCCTCGGTCTCCCAGGCGGCGGCGGGGGTCGGGGGGGGCACCCCAGGCGGCTTCCCCGCCGTCGCCCGGCCCGCTGCGGCTGGAGGGCCTCCCCCCGCGCCGCCCGCCCGCCTCCCCGCTCGGCCGAGATTGAGGGGACGGCCTAGGAGGGTGAGGTGGCAGGAGGACCGAGCAGGGCGTGTCCCGGGGACGAGACCGGGCTCTGCTCGTTCTTCCTGGGGAGCTGCTGCCCGAGTGCTGCGGGCGAGGGGGACCCCGGGTCCAGACCTGCCCGGTGCCGGGCGAGCCGAGAGGTGCGGCCCTGGGCGAGTCACTTCAGCTTTCTCCAGCTCGGTTCCTCCGTCAGGATTTCAAAAGCAATAAAACCAGAAAACCCTCGGACTTCTCATTTCTGTAGCTGCCCTGGGACGTCATTGCACGGCAGGCGGGATAGCTAGTCCTTGGGAGTCTTGAGGTTCTTGGGAGTCTTGAGGTTTTGGAGTGACGTTGAGTTTTTAAGGTAATTTTCCGCAGCCCCCGTTAAATGGGAGGCATTGTGTCACGTTTGTGACATTAAAGGCCAGAGCCGGTCCCTGCCTTCAGAGAACGTTTTAATCAGAGAGACGGACAGGTGTACCACCCCGTGATAATAAGGTGTCATAAAGATAAAAGATGCGTGGACACACCAGGCATAAAGAGGCGCCTGGGTGGGGATCAGCCTGGGGAAGGGGGAGGGGGGCATAGGTAGTGACATTGGAACAGAGCCTCCAAGTGTGCTGTCAAGTTTGATGGGGCAATAGACGTGGCCTGAAGAGGGAAGAGCATAAACTAAGATACGGAACAGCGTGGAGTGCACGGTGGTGGGAGGAACGGCAGGGAGCAGGGAGGAGAGTTTCCCAAAGTAGTTGGAGCTAAGTTGGGCAAGGCCTTGAATACCACCCCCAGGAGTTAGGAATTTATTCCAGACCCTGGGGGCCCAAGCAAGGGGTGGATTGCTTCGAGGTTAAGCTCACACACGGGATTGTGAGATAGACCATCTAGGTTTGAAGTCAGGCCCCACCACATGTTAGGCATGGGGGGGAGATCACCCTGCCTCAGTTTCCTCATCTGTAAAATGGGCGCCATCGTCGCAGGATTGCTGTGGGGCTTCAATGAGAGACTGCATGTAAAAGGCTCAGCACCATGACTTCCACTTTGCTCTCAATGACTGGACTGCTGGCTTTGGTTATTTTATTTTTATTTTTTTAAATATATTTTATTGATTTTTTTATAGAGAGGAAGGGAGAGGGATAGAGAGTTAGAAACATCGATCAGCTGCCTCCTGCACACCCCAAACTGGGATGTGCCCGCAACCAAGGTACATGCCCTTGACCGGAATCGAACCTGGGACCTTTCAGTCTGCAGGCCGACGCTCTATCCACTGAGCCAAACCGGTTAGGGCTGGCTTTGGTTATTAATACAAGAGGGGAACGACATTTTCAGCTCCATTTAGAAAAAGTCTGGCGGGTGGACGAGGACAGATTTGGCCCCAAATGTCAACTTACTATTTTTCAAGTTATGCTAAACTATAGTGCATGTTCATATTATCATACTTTTTTTTTTTTTAAAAAGGGTAAGGTAGGTATAGTCCTGTTTTAGGAAAGTCATTCTAGTACACCTGTCCAGCCCCACATCTACAGGTTACCCTGACTAAGTGACAAGCAGGAATGTGATGATGTGGCGTCCTCTTATCGCTCAGAAAGGTTACGGATTCTTTCATGTTTCAGCTGTCCTGGATAATGAGAGACTCACTGCGGAGGAGATGGATGAAAGGAGGCGGCAGAATGTGGCTTATGAATACCTTTGTCACTTGGAAGAAGCCAAGAGGTAAAGATGGGCTGGCCGGAAAAAGAGATTGGGAGGAGGGAGCCGATAGGATGTGACCGCAGATAAAGGTCTCTTTCACTATGTTGTAGCTGTGTCTGCGGGAGGCCGGTGGTTTGAAGGAATAAGTATAGTTAGGGTGTTTATTCCTGGGAGCAAGGAACCTTGGTGGTAGTTTATTCATGAAACACTGATGGACATTTTTTTAAAAAAATTTTTAAATTCTTTATTGTTTAAAGTATGACGTATGGTGGACGTTTTTGTATACTGAAAAGTGTCCAAGTTTGTGTTGTTCTGATTTATGACCAGGGGGCCTGTGTGAGGCACTCCCAGCTCTGGGGGAGAAAAAGCATTGTTAGGATTAGAAGTTCTTGGGCTTTAATGTTTCACCAGTTTTTCATTCGTTTTGATTTATCTACGAGTTGGGTTCCTTCTCTCCTTGGCAGCGCTATGAGTATAGGCCAGGGGTGGGCAAACTTTTTGACTCGAGGGCCACAATGGGTTCTTAAACTGGACCGGAGGGCCGGAACAAAAGCATGGATGGAGTGTTTGTGTGAACTAATATAAATTCAAAGTAAACATCATTACATAAAAGGGTACGGTCTTTTTTTTTTTTTTTTTAGTTTTATTCATTTCAAACGGGCCGAATCCGGCGCGCGGGCCATAGTTTGCCCATGGCTGGTATAGGCCCACCCATTGGGCAGTCCTCAGAGACAGCTTACCAGAGGCAGTGTCCTCTGCATCCTTTGTGAAGCGAATGTACAGCTGCTCTTTTGCTTCATCAGATGTCCGAGGCCTTTTGTGGCCATATTCTTAGAGTCTCGATTTGCTATCCGTTGTTCGTTCCTTTTGTCCTGGCGCCCTGTTCCTTTGAATGTCCCGGGGCAGAGAGATGTAATTACAGATCAGGTATCCTATAAGGGAGCTTTGGCGGAAAAGGCCAGCAAGGGATATAATGACAGGTATTCGTGATGCATAGGCTAATGAAAATCATGGATGTTTGAAATGTGACTAATAAATAAGATTTTTTGTTTATTTTTAATTCTGAAAATATAAAAAAAAGCTATAGGAAAGTCCAAGGACAGTACAGCAAACATGCATGTATTTCAGCAGGAACAAATGTTAGCCCTTTCAGATCTTTCTCTTTCCTCTAAAAAAGACACGGTGGCGTTCCCTTTGTGCCCCTTCCTCGTCCTGTTTCCCCTTCGTCCTGTCCCTGGGGCTACCACTAACATGCATTTGGTGTGTCCTCTTGAATCCAGGCTTTTTCCCGGAGCTTGAAGCTCTCCCGGGAGACTGTGGGATTAGCGATGATTGAGGTGGGGAGAATTGTTTTTCTAAATGGAAGGTTAGACACCAGAGGAGTGTGTTATTATAAAAGGGGTTGGTTTCCTATACAAAGTCTGTAAGGACTTCTTGAACAAGAAGATGCAGCCCTCTGCTCCTCCAGCTGTGACTGGTTCTAGCTTTGGAAGGTCAGAGAGTTTGGGAGCTGCAGCTGGTCTGAGAGTCCAGGTTGTGCTCTGTGAAGCCTTGTTGATTCCGTTGAGGTGAGCTGGGGATGGACAGGCAGACGGAGCCTCAACTCACCTTCCTTCCCGCATCCAAAGCAGTTCTGTTTTTTGTTTTATTTTATTTTTTAAAATATATTTTTACTGATTTCAGAGAGGAAGGGAGAGGGAGCGAAATTGAAACATCAGTGATGAGAGAGAATCATTGATTGGCTGCCTCCTGCACGCCCCACACTGGGGATCGAGCCCACAACCCGGGTATGCGCTCTTGACTGGAATCGAACCCGGGACCCTTCAGTCCGCAGGCTGACGCACCATCCACTGAGCTAAACCAGCTAGGGCTGTTTTATTTTTAAGTGTATTGACTTTTTGAGACAGACAGACAGACAGGCAGACACATCGATTTGTTTTCCACTCATTTATGCATTCATTGGTTGATTTTGGTCCTGTTGGGGGTTGAAACCTGCAACTTTGGCGCATTGGGACAACGCTCTCACCAACTGACTTATGGGCCAGGACTCTGCTTTTGTTTTAATATTGGGTTTGACAGTGAAATTTCCTTGTTACACAGGGTATCTTGGCTGACACCCACTTGTCACCACTAATCTAGTTCAACCATCTCATTTCAGTGGGGAAACTGAGGCTAGAGCTTTCATGGTCTATGTGTAGTTTTCTTGATGGAAGAATAATTGTCATCATTTTATGGAGTGGTTCTTAACTAGATGTGGGCATTAGAATCACCTAGGAAACTTCCCAAAAATACAGATATCCAGGCTTACCACAGAGATTCTGGTTCAGTAGACCTGGGCCGGGAGGTCAGACACCTGTATATTGTAAATGCTTCTAGTGGTTCTGATGGTCCCCCCGCGTTGAGAAACAAGATTTAAAATGTTTTTAGAAGTCTGCTTGCCCGGTCGTTGTGGCTCAGTGGTTAAGCATCAACCTATAAACCAAGAGATCATGGTTCGATGCCCAGGTTGCGGGCTCGATCCCCTGTATGATTCTCTCTCATCATTGTTTCTCTCTCGCCCTTTCCTTTTGTTTCTCTCTCGCCCTTTCCTTTCCTCTCTGAAATCAATCAAGACATATATATATATATGGAGTCTGCCTATGCTGGGATATCATAACCTGAATAAAATGATGCTTTTATAATTACATTTCCTTCTTCAGTTGCTGCCCTAGCAAGGTATTTCATTTGTCAGGTGTTTTTTCCAGTATAGGAAGGTAGCCCATTTTCTTTAAAATCCCTCCAGGGGGCATGATCACCTAGGGTGTTTTTTTAGTTGGGTGTTTTTGCATACTTAGTGAGACGTTTGTGATAGTCTTAATTTTTTATGCTTTGGCCAGAAGAGAGGACATAATAGTGGCAGTTACATGCCCCGGTACATGCTGCCTGCTGGCCAGGCATTGTGAAATGTGCTTGGTTTATTTAATTTTTTTAAAAAAATATTTTTTATTAATTTCAGAAAGGAAGGGAGAGGGAGAGAAAGAGATAGAAATATCAATGATGAGAATCATTGGTCGGCTGTCTTCTGCAAACCCCCTCCTGGGGATAGAGCCCTGAACCCGGGCATGTGCCCTGACCAGCAATCGAACCGTGACCTCCTGATTCATAGATTGATGCTCAACCACTGAGCCACGCTAGCTGGGCATGCTGGTTTTTTTTTTTTGGAGGCAATCATTTAAACCTGGACGTGGTGAATTTTTTGTTTAAAGATTTGATTAGGAAATCAACGTTGGAAGCCCCTATTTAGATTTTACAACCAGTCAAGGTTAGGGAAAGAAGCCTGGAATGCCCTGCTGAGAACAGAGGACTGGATCCCTCCCGGCCGGCCACCTGCTGTGTTTGAGGTGCCCGCAGGCAGATCACATGCTCTTCCTTATGCGCTTGGGACTTCAGCTCCAGCTGTGTCTCTTTTATTTATTTACCAGAGGCCCAATGCACGAAATTCGTGCAAGAGTAAGCCTGCCTTCCCCCGGTTGCCGGCACCAGCTTCCCTCTGGCACCCGGGACCTGGCTTCCCTCGCAGCCCCGGCTTCAGCTTCGTCCGGAAGGATGTCCAGTCTATTTAGCATATTACACTTTTATTATTATAGATTTATTTATTTTTTTAAATTGATTTCAGAGAGGAAGGGATAAAGAGATAGAGAGATAGAAATATCAATGATGAGAGAGAATCATTGATTGGCTGCCTCCTGCATGCCCCCTACTGCAGTTGGGGGGGGATTGAGCCCACAAGCCGGGCATGTGCCCTTGGCCAGAATTGAACCTGGGACCCTTTAGTCTGCAGGCCTATGCTCTATCCCAGCGTTTCTTAACCTGTGGGTTTCGACCCCTTTGGGGGTCGAACGACCCTTTCACAGGGGCCGCCTAAGACCATCGGAAAACACATCTATAATTACATATTGTTTTTGTGATTCATCACTATGCTTTCATTATGTTCGATTTGTAACCATGAAAATACATCCTGCCTATCAGATATTTACATGACGATTCATAACAGTAGCAAAATGACAGTTATGAAGGAGCAACGAAAATAATCTTATGGTTGGGGGTCACCACAACATGAGGAACTGTATTAAAGGGTCGCGGCATTAGGAAGGTTGAGAACCACTGCTCTATCCCCTGAGCCAAACCGGCGAGGGCCCAGTTGTATCTCTTAACCTGGAGAGCTGGGCTGCCCCTTCTGTGCTGCGAGGGCCCCTCTTTCCCCTCGAGCACAAGCCCCGTTCGCCTTTTTGGTTTGGCCCCATCCTGCTTCCTTTGTAACCTCCACCCCTCCCAAACTGGAAGAGCCGCCAGGGTCTGGAATTTACACCGGTTCCAAGGCCAGGAAGAAAGATCAGAGAGATCCAGGGGAGAAAAGGTCCCCCTCTTTAGTTCTATTTATAAGACCGCCGCTCCTCCCACTCGAGGCTCCACCTTGCAGGACAGTGGCCCCATTGTGTATCGCAGGGCACGCCGTTTTCCTTGTACCTGCAACAGAGCTCTTCAGTGGAAGGAGCGGAGAGTGACTATGACTGTGGAGACAGTGTGTGTAAGTAAGAGCGTGTGCAGAGAAACGAGAGAGGGCTGTGGGTGTGGGTTTGTGTTTCCCCAAAAAGTTAACTGGGAAAATTTAGGGGTGATTCCACAAAAGTATGCACTGGGGTGGCTGGGAAATAGAAAATGCAGAGCTTCTGCTTTCTTTATTCTTTGGGGAGTAGCTTCAATGTAGAAGTTAAGTTATTGTTCTAATGAAATATTACCTAAGGATATCGGGCTTTTTGCTAGGGCTACAGAGCAGATCAAGGACTTTATCAAGAGCCATCTGAAATTACATGTGTATGCTTAAATGCAGGTTTATTTTCATCCTTTTGCCTGTTCTAATTGGGCTTTTCATTTGTTTTGGCTAAGGAGCAGTAGGAATGCACAGCATTGTCACTCAAGGGAAGGTGGTGAGATTTAAATATGTGAGGTCTTGCACAGGAAGAAGTGATAGATCAGAAAAA